GATTTATTCACAAATCTTTAACTATATTCTTAATAACTTTTACTAGATGATAATGAGTAAATATTACATGAATTTGTAGCATTTAAATTTACTTAACAAACGTAAGTGCAAATCGTTTACAGGATTTTCTCTAGTAAATCTTGTAAGTTATTTCTTTACAGTGTGGACAGTCAGGCAACTGTGGCACAACAGCTGAGAATTCTGGACTATATGAATAGTTTTGTACTGATAAACAAATATAAACAAGCAAGAAGTCTCCAAATCAGACCAAAACCTGAACAAGTTGTAATCTGCTCCCAGATAGTCAAAACCGTGGGTCAGATGTAGACAAAAGACAAAACATTGATAAAAAGTACTTCAAGATAATTTTTTTGTTCTGTCAATAATCACACAAGTCAAAATTTACTATGTTGTAAACAGTTGTGTAAGAACACACAAAAAATGCTGTTTAGTGCTATGTTTTGTTGGCTCTAAATATAAAATCTAGACTCTGGTTTTAAAATCCTTCAAGATATGCAGAAAAAGAGAAAATTAAAGTGCAGATAACCCAGAAGACTGTAGCGAAGCAGCTCCCAGATTAACTGATAGATTTCTGCAGCAGCATTGGGTATATTTAATGTTGTTTGTGTTTGTTTTGTTTTTTTGAATGGCATTATTTATTGTTTTATTAAGAATTTGATTCAAACAATGAAGATATGGTCAGCTTCTAACTGAACTGACATCAACTGTTTCTGCAGTCTTAAGACTTTTAAGGATTTTAATATTGTATAAAACTTTAACTTCATCTTGTAATCAAACAAACAAACAAACAAACAAACAAATGTTATTAATAAAGTGTCAAATAAAAAATAATGGACAGTATTTTTTTCCACAAACATTTTGATGCACTTCTTATTTTGCAGGTGCAAATAATGTAAAAAACATAGCAGAAGCTATATTAAAACAATATAGCTTCAGACTCATGGAAACTAAGCTGGGACAACTATAGTTGCGTTTCCATTGACCATGAAAATGCGCAAATTAGAAAATCGAAAATAAATTTGCTCAATGGAAACACGTCAATTTCGAAAAAACTTACATTTATCGACATAAAGGTTTTGTACGGAGGCCGCGAGGGGACATGGGAGAATTTTTTTTATTTTGCGTTCCCATGCAATAGTATTGCGTTACCTCGCAATACTTTTGCGTTACCTCTCAATACCTTTTGCGTTCCCTCGCAAAAGTAGTTTATCACTGTTGTGCCTGCTGGTTTATTAGCAAACTCACATGTTCACCATTGGCGACTTAGCCTACTGCTTTAATTCAGCTTCAGAATGAATATATCACACAGCCACATGTGGAATTATGTCATATGCTGATATTATAACACAGTGCAGCCACACAACATCAATGTCAATTTCACGAACTTGTGGCGACACATTCTGCTTTGGTAACCAGATATTTCAAAATAAAAGTCTGATTTAATTCAGTTCATATACAAAACAATATTTTGCGTGGGAACGCAAAGCAATATTGCAAGGTAACTCAAAAGTATTGCGTGGGAATGCAAAAGGAAAAAAAATCCCCCCGTGTCCCCTCGCGGGCTCCGTAGTTTTGCGCTAGGATGAGGTGGTTTTTTTGGCCGTATCAAAATTGGTGTATTTCGTAAAACTGCAATGGAAACTCTTTTTTCGCATCACAGGAGTCACGTGATCAAGAACCGGCTGTTTCTACTGGCGAAAAAGACAACAAAAATGATAACAGGAAGTAGAAGTAGTAGTAAACTCACCGACGACAATTTCCCAAAAACACAGCATACATAGCCGCTCCTGAATAGTAGGGGCTTGTCACTGGAAAGCCTCAATAAAAGATGACGATGTCTCATCTGATGATGAGCGCTAGTGTCGCGGTAGCAACATGCCATGTGTTTACATCTATCGCCGCCATGTTTGTAATGACTTATCGCGAGAACAAACGTATTCACGCGTGAATCTAATAGCATTTCTTGCTTAAGGGAAACACTGCAATTGCAAAACTGTGTTTTCGACATTAACAGAATGTCGACAATGTTTTGCGCACATTTGCAATAGAAACGTTGCTAATGAGACTCGCGACTCTCTGCGAAAATGTTGAGAGAAACTCCATCCATCCATCCATCCATTTTCTTCCGCCTATCCGGGGTCGGGTCGCTGGGGCAGCAGCTTCAGAAGGGAGGCCCAGTCCTCCCTCTCCCCAGCCACTTCTTCCAGCTCCTCCGGGGGAACYCCAAGGCGTTCCCAGGCCAGCCGAGAGACATAGTCCCTCCAGCGTATCCTGGGTCTTCCTTGGGGCCTCCTCCCGGTGGGACGTGCCCGGAATACCTCACCAGGGAGGCGTCCAGGAGGCATCCTTGAGTTGGGCTCCTCACTTGATTTTAAAACATTGCTCTCTAAAATTGTTGAGAGAAACTTTGTTGAACAAATTAATGAACACATTTCAAATTTTAGCGAGGAAGTTTGGAATGCTCAGAAATTTTTCAAGATACAGCAGGTAAAATAAGTATTGAACACGTCACCATTTTTCTCAGTAAATATAATAATAGAGGTGCTAATGACATGAAATTTTCACCAGATG